TCTTGGGTGAGGGGATGATGGCTGTTGGCAGCTGGTCACACCCCCTTCATGGTGGGGGCCCACTGGGGTGCCGGGCCAGGCTGGGTGAGGGGCTGAGGGCTGTTTTCAGGCTGGGGGTGACTGGAGCTCCCAACCGCTCCTTTTTTCCTTTTTTTTTTTTATTCTGGGCCAGCTTTAGTTCTGAGGCTCGGCTCCAGCTATGAGATCTCCGCTGCTGAAAGCAGGTTTCTGGCTTTGTTTACCTTCTGTATTTGAAACTTTGTTGCGACTCCAGCTCTGAGATCCCAGCTGACTGAAAGCAGGTTTCTGGGGTTTCGTTTAGCTTCTATATTTGTAACAATGTTTCTTAGAGAGTAGCTCAGAGCCCAGCAGTGGCAGGCGGGGAACGTTGGTTTCCTCCGTCACTGAAGCAAGCAAGCCTCCTGTTAGTTTCAAGCTGCCTGGCTGCCGGCTGCCATCTTGGCTGGCAGTTAATTTGCATATCACCCTGATTAGCCAATGGGAAGGGTAGTGAATGTATACTAATTACCATGTTTCTCTTTTATTAGATAGGATTCTAATCCCAGTCACATACTAATACAGGAAGGAAGAACCTGAGGATTGCATTGGCAGTCTCAGACTTCTCCAGGCTTCACCTGAGTCCATCAATTGCCTATGTCCTTAGAGTTATTAGTAAAATTTGATACATGGTAAAATCTGTAGTTCTAAAGAGTCTGCTTTAACAATCTGACCTTGTACATTATGTCAGTAGCATAAATGATTCATTTAGCAGATAGTGGATGGAACATACCCATTACAGCAAGGACTTGTATTTGATGTAATAAAAGGTAGTTGTTGGAAAAGGGAGTTACAATAAATTTTTGGAGAGTTTTAAATGAGAGATTTTGGATTTCATTCCATAATAAGGGTATGAGAGTGTTTGATGAAAGAGAGGATGATGTGTTTCAATCCAGTAAAACAGCATGTCGGACAACAGGAAAGAGATAAGATTTTTAGGTAGAAGGTCTTCTAGATAACTATGATAATTCAGCTAAAAGTGATTAAAACATTGTGAGGCCTTGAACAGATGTTTAAGAAATTATAATTAAAATAAACAGTTCTTAGGGATTTATTGGTTAATAAAAATGAGTTAAAAGTAGTTTTGGACTGGTTAAAAGGTAATGCCTAGGACAGAAACAGGTAGATTTAGAGTTAGTTTAACATAGAATGAATGTTAAGGACCAATGAATCAAAGGAGCTCATGGAATACACAGGTGCACACACACTCTCTCACAGACACATATATACACACAATCCATACTTGAAAATTTAGAGACATATAGTCAATTTCATAGTGTAAACCAGCTACCAAGGTAATTAGCAAGTCCTCTGAGAGTGAATAGGATATGTAGTGAATTTACACATGATCAAAAGAAAAACTGCAAAATCAGAGGAGTGGTCCCAATAGTCCTTCTCCTATTCTCCCTCCTCTGCTTACAAAGTGTGAAAAATGTGAATAGTCAAATTTTAAATTATTGACTCATTTTGAACCATGATATTTCTGTGCCAAGGCCCAGTATATTGGCTCCTTGTCTTGTTTTAAAGGGGAAATTTCTAGGACGTAAGTTGAGACTCAAAACATCATTTAAAGCAAAATACTGTGTCCTGTGATAACTCCACACTCTGGCTGCAGCTCCTTGTTCTTCACTCCATCCCTCTTATGGCCATTTGTGTCCATCAAAAGCAAATTTGTTTATAAATAGCTCATAATGCCCAAAGCTGATATATCAGAAGTGAGTCTCTCTCCCCTTGGCATATGAGGACCAGGCAGAGGAGTGGAGCATTGTGGTAAACAGAATAAGGGTCCCTCAAACATGTCCAGGTTCTAACCCTTGGAAATTATGAATATGTTACCTTATCTGGAAAAAGGAACTTTCCAGATGTGACTAAATTAAGGATACTGAGATTGGAAAAGTATATGAGATTTTTCCAGGTGAGTCCAATGTAACCACAAGGGTCCTTAAAACAGGGCGGCAGTAGAGTTAGAGTAATATAGGAGATGTGATAATAGAAACACAACTTGGAGTGATGCCATTGTGAGTAAGGAGTTAAGAACTAGGAAATACAGGCAGCCTCTAAAACCTGCAAAAGGCAGTACTCCCTTAGAGCCTCCAAAAAGAATTTTGAGAATGATTTCACATTTCTGATGGCCACATACTAAA